TCAGTCTGAACGGCCAAAGTGCATTCATCCACCTACACGTTATCAACAAGCCACAAACGTCACTATTCTGCGCTGAAGTAGGCGAAAATTGTTAATGAACTCCGTGTCACTGAAGTGAAGCACATCTCCACTCACCACTCTTGGCTCCGTCTCCACATCCACACGTTCCTTTCAATGGATGTCGCTGCCGCTGCCCCACAAAACACCACGACCAAAAACCTCGTCCTTCTCCTTCTCAATCTCCTCCTTAAAACAAGTAAGTTGTTCATGTTCTGGCTCCGGTACGAGAGGAACTTTAAATTCTCCAGGTGCTCAATGCTGCGTCCATGTTTGGACAACTTAAGTAAACACAGAGCACGCTCACTGTGGTTGACGTCATCATGTCTCCAGTGCACATGTGGGACACTTTCGGGTCGTTTAACGTTCACACTGGAGTCACATACAAGTCACATTTAAGTGTAAATGTGAACAACCTCACAAAAACATCGGATTTCACAAAAAAATCTGAATTGAGCGTTAAGCCCTGCAGTCTGAACGTAGCCAAAGAGACAAGCAGGTGACGGACCCTCCACCAGAAAAGTTACACAGTACACCTTTAATTTCATATCCGGTGTTTATGTGTGTACTAGTATATGCATGTTTTTGTATGTGCATGTGTATTTGTGTGTTTGGATTCATTGTTAATTGGTAAACTGTCCTTTTTATTGCGCTATAGTTGAAATTGTTTGGGGGTTTCGAGACCAGGACAGTCGCAGTGGTGGTAGTAAGTGGTGGAGGAGGTGGTTGTCGTGGGAACAGTAGCAGCAGCAGAGGATGGGCATCTGAAAAAAAAATATATATTATTTTGTATGTACATTTTGAATATTCACAAATAAAAGGGAAATTATTGGCAAATAGTTCATTCTTTTTGACATTCACATTTGTTTTTTTTGTTTTTTTTTGTGTTTTTTTTGCAACTTTGTTTATTGAACATTTTTAACATTAACAAACAAACAGAGTGCACTGTATTGAATAATACCATTATAGATATGACAGTAGAGAGGACACATCTGTACGTCAAAATAAATTAAAAAGTAAGAAGTAGGGATGCGAGAGAAGAAAAGGAGCCCATAGAGGTGAAAAACATGGGGTAGGAAGAGGAAAAATAAAAATTAAAAAAAATAAAAAAAACTTAAAAACAGCTTCCGGTGAGCCGAGATACTGGCCGTTTTTGGTGCTGATGAAAGTAGTCCGGCAAGTTGTCTGGGGACTGTATAATAAGCGTTTTTCTTCTCAAAACAATCTGTGTTCAAAAGAGTGATACATTTGCATCACAAAACCATCGTCAAATAAAAAGTCAGACCTCATTATCGCTTGGCACTATTTTCTTTCTGTTCGTATCACTGCGCGTCTTATGTCTCTGTCTCTCTGACCTGCCAGGGACTACAGATGAAAAGCAGCCTTTGGGTTAATTCTGGCGTATTTACAAGTGTATGTTCATGAATCTGCATTGTCCCGTTTAAATAAATAAAACTAAAAAAAAAATAATAATAATAATTTCTACAGGAAACATGCATGGTAGAGAGTGAGTGCATGGTAGACGTCTAAATAAAGCAATTAAATTATGTGTAATGCAATTAACTTAATGTAAATGAAATGAAATAATCCTGACAGTGTGGAGTGGTGGCAGAAGTATCCACCACACTTGTACAGTTGTGGTACATTTAAAGCTTTCGTACTTTTTCCTGGTCACATTCTATAGTCTCTAAACGCACAGTTACACGGGTCATATATTTGGTCTGTAATATACACAGTGATTTAGTATTGTTGTAAAGGTATAAATCTGTTTTCGATGTAGTTTTGTGGTTTATGTGGACAGAAAATGAGCCACAAAAACACCAATGACGAATGACGCCACCGACGTGAAATGTGACCTCCTGACCCCCCCACGTTTCATCCCCCTCTTTTATAGTGGATGGAGTGACCTGTGGGTGTTTGTGGAGAGGGAGGAAGGGAGGCGCGGGTGTGGAGGGGTGGAGGGGGGTTAGGGAGGGCCCACCTGCTCCATCGCTGACACCCCCCCCCCCCCCGGCAGCAGAGGGACCAGAGACTCCAGGAGAGAGAGAGAGGGGTGACCTACATGCTCTCCCTCTGCTGCCGTTACGTCAACAAAATGAAGTCGTCTGTGAAGCATGTGAAGGAGGGAGGGGGGTTTGTCATTTAGGTTCGACTCATGATTCATCTTCAGCTAACTCACTGCGAACCTCACTGTTGTCCCATGGAGAAAAAAAAAGAAGAAGAAAAAGAATCTAAATAAATGAATGGCCTAAATCGACCTAAAACTGATTTTTTGACTACCATAGAGACGCCCTCTGTGTGTCCCTCTGTGTGTCTCTCTCTGTCCCTCTGTGTCTCTCTCTGTGTCTCTCTGTGTGTCCCTCCTTCTGTGTGTCTGTCCCTCTGTGTCCCTCCTTCTGTGTGTCCCTTTTTCCCTTTGTGTGTCTCTGTGCTTGTCCTTCTGCGTCTCCCTCTGTGTGTCCATCTGTCTCTTTGTGTGCGCATGCTCTCTGTGTGTCTCTCTGTGTGTCCCCCTGTGTGTAACCTCTGTCTCTCTGTGTGTCCATCTCTCCCTCTGTGTGTCCGTCTGTGTGTCTCTCTGTCCCTCTGTGTGTCCCTCTGTGTGTCCCTCTGTGTGTCTCTCTGTGTGTCTCTCTGTGTGCCCCTCCCTCTGTGTGTCTCTTCCTCTGTGTGTCTCTCTGCGTGGCCCTTTTTCCCTCTGTGTCTCTCTGTGTCTCCCTCTGTGTGTCCGTCTGTCCCTCTGTGTGCACTTGCTCTCTGTGTGTCCCTCTGTGTCTCCCTCTGACCATCTGCCCCTCTGCGTATCCATCTGTGTGTCTCTCTGTCCCTCTGTGTGTCCATCTGTTCCTCTGTGCGTCCCTCCATTCCTCTATGTGTCCCTCTGTGTGTCCCTCCGTCCCTCTGTGTGTCTCTGTGTGTGCCTCCCTCTGTATGTCTCTCCCTCTGTGTGTCTCTCCCTCTGTATGTCTCTCCCTCTGTGTGTCTCTCCCTCTGTATGTCTCTCCCTCTGTGTGTCTCTCCCTCTGTGTGTCTCTCCCTCTGTATGTCTCTCCCTCTGTGTGTTCCTTTGTCCCTCTGTGTGTCTCACTGTGTGTCTCTTGATGTGTCTCTCTGTGTGTCCCTCTGTGTGTCTCTCTATCCCTCTGTGTGTCCGTCTGTCCCTGTATGTCCCTCTGTGTGTCCTTCTGTGTCTCTCTCTGTCCCTCTCTATGTGTCTCTCTGTGTGTCTTTCTCTCTACATGTCCCTCTGTGTGTCCTTTTGTGTGTCCTTTTGTGTCTTTCTCTGTCCCTCTCTGTGTCTCTCTGTGTGTCTCTTTGTGCGTCTCTCTGTGTGTCTTTCTCTGTCCCTCTCTGTGTCTCTCTGTGTGTGTCTCTCTGTGTGTCTCTCTGTGTGTCTCTCTGTGCGTCTCTCTGTGTGTCTCTCTGTGTGTCTCTCTGTGTGTCTCTCTGTGTGTCTCTCTGTGTGTCCTCTCTGTGTGTCTGTGTGCCTCTGTGTGCGTCTCTCTGTGTGTCTTTCTCTCTACATGTCCCTCTGCGTGTCTCTCTGTCCCTCTGTCTGTACATTTGCTAAACAGTTTCCTGTCCCCCTGCATGTCCCTGTCCTCCTGTTTTCTCTCCTGTAGATTGATATTGATCTTCTGTGTCACACTGGAGAGTGATACTTAGTGTCCATTTTGTCCTGGCGCCCTGTTTTCCTCAGCGCTGCAGAAAGCAAAAACCAACACCCCGTTTTTGATTCTTTATTTACTGGACTGTATCAAACCACAGAGGACCCTCCAAACAGGAAATACAAATAAATATCTCTTTTTAAAATTCTCAATATAGTTAGATCTTTTCTGGTTTTAAACTCTTGCCTCACAGCAAGAAAATGGTTCTAGGACAGTGAGTGTGTATACATGCACATCAATAACCCAGTTATGATCGGGTTTTTTGAGTATCCTGGTTTCTTGATGGTGCACTTTCCAGTCTTTTCACCACAACAGTAGCGACATAAATAAATTGACCAACATAAATAAAGTGACCACACGAGTGAAATTATTAAAATTAAGAGCTGCACTAAAACTGCACACGTACAATCTGCACTCGTACGACCTGCACTCGTGTGATCAATGAAAAGCTAAAACATGAACTATCTCCTACACAACACACACACAGAACAGACTCACCATCATCAGCACCTCTTCTGTCACTAAAAGAACACACATAATCCACTGAGTCGTGTCATTTAGTCCAAAAGAAGCTGAATCGCATCAGCGGCACAAGGAGCAGCTGTTTTTATCACCGCTAACAGTTTATGCTAATTAGCGATGCAGTTTTAAGTTTTGTTTCTGTAAAACGTAAACAAATGTGATCAGAGCTGAATGATCTGATCAAACAGACTGATGTGGCTCTACAGTGGTTCTGGTTTATATGTTGTAAAGTTGAGTTTATTTATGCAGAAGATTTTATTGAAGAATCTGTTGGTTTGATGTGTGCAGTGGATTGTGGGAGATCTCGTAGCTCCTTAGCTTCTTATGCTAAAGGAGCTCACGGTTTGTATTTTTCCTGGTTTATGAAATTGATTTAAGTTATTTTTTGCACTTGCGCATTTCGTAAGATTATGTCAAGAAACCGGGATACTCCATTTGATCAGGTACACGATATGAGTATCCCGGTTTCTCAGCGCGCATGTAAACGCAGTAACCCGAATACTGACATAACCCGGATATGGATCATAACCGGGTTATTGATGTGCATGTGTACACACTCAGTGATGTTCCTCTCATCAACATGTACATTATTTCAAATCCAGCCCAGGACCAGCTCTGATCTGGAGATGTTCCCGGGTGCTGCTCTTTGCCCCTCACAGGTTGTCAATCACGCTGAAGGACGGGTCAAATGCAGAGGACAGATTTCATGTATGTGTGCTGTGTGTTGTAACAGTGTTGTGTGTCTGTTTGCAGGCCTCACATGGTGACGGAGTACATGGGCATCCGGAACGAGAGCTTCATGAAGATGGCCGCGGTGGGGACGTGGATGGGGGATTTCGTCACCTGCCTGGATGGTGAGGATTTACAGACTTTTGCGTTTCTCTTTGATTTACGGAGATTTCAATCTGGAGACACTCACAGAGAGAAAGTGTTAGAAGTTTTATTGAATGAGTCTCAGACCTCGACAGAAGACATGACGATGAAGGGCGTGGCCAATTAGGAGGAGACGCCAAGGACAGTGAAGGAGACGAGAGGATGAGGAAAGTGAAGAGGACAATGAGAGGATGAGGAGAGTGAAGGACATGATGAGAAAATGAGGAGAGTGAAGGAGATGACAAGAAGATGAGTAGAGTGAAGGAGACAATGAGAGGATGAGGAGAGTGAAGGAGACGATGAGAGGATGAGGAGAGTGAAGGTGAAGATGAGAGGATGAGGAGAGTGAAGTTGAAGATGAGAGGATGAGGAGAACAAAGGAGACGATGAGAGGATGAGGAGAGTGAAGGAGACGATGAGAGGATGAGGAGAGTGAAAGAGACAATGAGAGGATGAGGAGAGTGAAGGAGACGATGAGAGGATGAGGAGAGTGAAGGAGACGATGAGAGGATGAGGAGAGTGAAGGAGACGATGAGACGATGAGGAGAGTGAAGGAGACATGAGAGGATGAGGAGAGTGAAGGAGATGATGAGAGGAAGAGGAGAGTGAAGGAGATGATGAGAGGAAGAGGAGAGTAAGGGGAGGATGAGAAGATGAGGAGAGTGAAGGAGACTCTCCTCCTCAAGGAGTAATGGAATGAGGTGATGAAGGCTGTGGAGCAGGTAAACTTTGGAGACACCTATGAAAAGCCCAGATGATCGCTCCCCCTGGTGGTTGGACGTGATCATTAAAGATGCAGTATGTCCCATTTCTGGTATGTCCTCTATAGCTGCTTGTCTCCATTGATGTTATTGCTTTGTCTTAAATGATCTGTAGTATGAGATTACACCTCCATCATGCTTTTGGTCAATTACAGGTGTTTTTATTGCTTAAAAGTATCTCGAAGGTGCCTCTCCACAGATCTGACCTGTACCTTGGCTTGGTTGTGTCACCTGCTTGTTTCCATAGATTAAATCTACCTCAGTGTGTGGACTACAGTTACTAGTTTCTTGTCCTTGTGTTACCTTCAGATCCTCTAATGATCCTGGTCCAGTCCAGTGTGAAATTTGATGAGGGTCTTGGTGAATCCTCTGGGTCTCATACGGGAAGAGGTACAGAGAGAGAGAAGGGGGGGGGGCAGCAGAGAGGGGTACAGCAGAGAAGAGGAGGGGGGGTACAGCAGTGAGGAGGAGTATAGAGGGGGGGGCTTCCAGGTTCATTTGTCCACAGAAGAGGTGCTACAGCTCCACTGGGACAGTCTCCTCACCTGTGCTGGGATGGAAGAGCTGACAGGACTCTCCCTTTGCTAGTATTAGTATTCTACTTTGTCTCTTAGTATTAGTATTATACTTCATCACATAGTATTCTACTTTATCACATAGTATTCTACTTCATCACGTACTGCATTGAACAGTGTTTGTTGTAATCACAGTCACTGTATCATGGGATGTATTATTTATCCTGTCTCTCACACGTAATTGTACTTCTATAGTCATAGCTGCCCTGGGGTAGACTGAGAAAAGTATCTCTGCCAATCTATGCCATCAGCCCCTCCGACCACCAGCCCCTCCGACCACCAGCCCCTCCGACCGCCAGCCCCTCCGACCACCAGCCCCTCCAACCACCAGCCCCTCCGACCACCAGCCCCTCCAACCAACATTCATAATCATCATCACATTTTTGGTCAATGGTCCCATTTTTATACAGCACTTTTCCACCTTCAAGGCTCAAAGGGCTTTAAAACAAGGAACCACTGACCCATTCACACACACTCTCGCACACCAGTGTACACACTGGGGGTGAGGTGGATTAAGTGTCTTGCGCAGGGACACAACAACAGCATTCATCTGTGGGATGAATTGCCAACCTACATTCACTTTACATTCATTTCCCATTTGCCAGGTGAGAGTAACACTGAGCGACTCTCACCTGGCAAAGCTTTTTCATGTTTTTCGGTGTCCTGGTGCTTTGAGGTCCCTGACACCACCACTGGACACCGACACATATGTGCCTGTTTTGTACACTGTGCACATGGCCTCCCACTTGTCTTTGAATGAATGAATGAATTTCTTGTACAAGTCATCATTCAGCATGTTGCAGACATGCGACTGTTTGTGTTTGCTCGCTCCTTCTGAGTTACAGAGAGCTACGAGAGACGCTCAGTGTAATGGCTCAATGAATGGTAATGAAAACCTGGGGGAAAACGGACATTTAGTCACCCAGCAACCTACATTCAGTTTGTAGATTAAAAATGAACATAATCGACGAAATTCTTAATGATCAATTATCGATTAATCGACTAACCATGCCCATCCTTAGTTCCAATATCTTCACAGAGGGGTTCAATATTGTGGATTCTAGTGTTAGTATTCATGGGTTTCAGACAAATTATTCTTCCTGATTTTATGTAGGGGTGTCAAATTATCGTGTTAATTGCGATTAATTAATTACAGTCATATTTAGCGTGTTATGTTTTTTAATGGCGTTAATCTTATTTTTAATCACTAACTTTACTGTTTCTGTGCAAGTTGCCTTATTATAAAATCAGTTTTTATGTGTTATTAGGACACAGTCGCACTGTGCAGTCCTGCTCCACTCGCTCCAGCAAAGAATTGTAGCCTGATTTTCATTCCCGTTCTCGCCGCATCTGCGATAAACCTGCACATGTCTGATCTCTGAAAACATCACGACACAGACACAGAGCAGACTCACCTTCACCATCAACATCCCTCTGTCACAGAAAGAACATCTATATTCCACTGAGTCATGTCCTTTAGTAGAAGCTGAACCGCATCGGCTCACAAGAGCGTTTTTTTTTTTCTCCGCTTAGTTTATGCAAATGAGCCATGTGGTTTTAAGTTTCGTTTCTGTGAGACTTGTGCAAAACTGCATTAAACACATTATAATGTCAAACAGGCTGATGTGGCTCTAAATCAGGGGTGCTCAATACGTCGATTGCCAAGGTCGTGTGGGTAGATCGTCGTGTCTCGTCTTGGACTCGTGTTTGGACTCGGTCTTGTCTCTCACTCAAGGTCTGACACTCAACAAGTGTGATCATATTTCATTATGGCCGCTGCTGTTGGTAATAAACTTGTAGCGGGTGCAGGAGCGTGTGGGGCGTCTCAGTGCAGCCTGTGCGCTCATTTGAAACCCGCGGAGACTCTACGGCACATCACAAACACACACGCTCCCTATGCACGGCTCGTCTGCGACAGCGTGTGCCCTCGTGTACCAGCGTGCATCACAGGGCAGGTTCAACTTCCTAAACATCCTACCTGTCCATCTGCCTCACGTCAGCACGCCGCCCCTCGCCTTTTCACGCTCTCGCTCCTTCCTGCGTACAGCGAACACAAGCCCCTCCCACAGTGCGGCTGATTAGAAGAGCAAGACCAAACGTGAAGCAAAAAACGAGTTTAAATTTGTGTTCCAGTGTTGGCACAAAGCAGGTCTACAGCATAGAGCAGATCTACAGAACAGACCTACTGCCACATTTGGCTGAAGTTTGTCTAACAAAAGTGCACAAATGCATCTGTGTTTGTCACGATGTGCGTTTGGTTTGGTAAATGTGCAGAGGCTGGTAAATATCACTGCAAAACCAGAAAAGAATGTAACTCCAGTTTGGAACTTTAAAAAACAGGTTTAAAAATCTTCCTTCACTTTTTTCACAGTTTTGTGTAAAGTGCCAGAGGAAGTTCTCTTAAAGAAGAGGTTCTCAAACTGTGGGTGAGGGTCCAAAAAAGAGGAACAGAGTGTTTCAGTGCAGTTTGCTTGGCTTTGTATTAGGTAGATCATTTTGACTTGGTCATTTGTAAGTAGCTCACATGCTGAAAAAGTGTGAACACCCCTGATCGAGAGTGTTTATGTTTATATGGTGTAAAGTTGAGTTTATTTATTCAGATTAGTAACAGTAATAATAATGATACTTATATAAAAACGTTAATGATAGTATGAAAATAATGTAATAATGAATTCAAATGAAAATACCTCAAGTTGAAGCTTTTCTCAACAATTTTTAGGTGAGAATAAAAAAGAGATTCATTAATTACAGATCATAATTAATTAATCTCTAAAAAATTTTTTTTATCGCTTGACAGCACTAATCTTATGTATTTCATGAGGAATCTTACCATTCAAAACATATATTCTTTTACTTCAGAATGGATGCCTAATTGCTGTAACAACAGAAACCCGCTGCCATAGGTTGAAACCCATGAACAGTAGCCCATAATCTCATCGTGCCTGACTTTTGGATCAGTGGAGGCTCAGGAGCTTTGTAGGGGGCAGTTTGCTCAGGATATGGACAGATAAAGCTTTCTCACTGCAGTTATTAGTATTCTCCATCACACTCATATCAGAGAGAGAGAGGGATGGAAGGAGAGAGAGAGAGAGAGGAAGAGGGGATGCGGGGGTCTGAGGGGAGGGGAAGAGGAAATGTACCAGTCTGGCCCAAAGCGAGATTAAGAGAGAAAGGTGAATAAAGGAGAGAGATCCAGAAAATTCTCCAAATGTCTTGTTTTTGTTCTCAAGGCTCCAGGATGGCACACTATTAAAATAAATAAATAAAAATACTGTTACAAAGAAAAAGAAAAATGACAGGAGGCATTTCAGTGTTTTTCAATTTCATGAATATTTTTTGGAGCTTTAAATGATAGATTTTAGAGTCAGTGTTTTCATTTTAGCAATAGTTTAGTGTTGTTTTGGTCATGAGCAGCCAATATTTTCATTAAATCTAGTGTGATTAAAATATGTCTCTATTGTAAACCAGATTTAGTCTTTGTTAAGTGTAAGTACAGTGTAAGAAATCATGCTTTTTGCAGTGTTTACAATCTGTATCCAAACTCCTCCGTTGCCCGGAATGTTCCACAGTCAGTGTTGGGGAGTAACAGATTACATGTACCGGAGTTACGTAATCAAAGTACAAATTATGAGTAACTGTATTCAGTTACAGTTACTGTTTCAGTGAGTGGTAATTGGATTACAGTTACTTTGTTGAAATAAATGGATTAGATGGAGGTATTTTCCTGTTTTCACATTTTGGGCTATATCCTTTTGTTTTTTTTCCCTGGTAAACCAAGTCTAAACTAGATCTCAACCAGGTCTAAACCAGGACTAAAACAGGACTAAAACAGGACAAAAAGCAGGTCTAAACTAGATCTAAACTAGATCTAAAACAGGTCTAAACCAGGTCTAAACCAGGTCTAAAACAGGACTAAAACAGGACTAAAACAGGACTAAAACAGGACTAAAAGCAGGTCTAAACTAGATCTAAACTAGATCTAAACCAGGTCTAAACCAGGTCTAAACCAGGTCTAAAACAGGACTAAAACAAGACTAAAACTGGACTAAAACAGGACTAAATGCAGGTCTAAACTAGATCTAAACCAGGTCTAAAGCCACGACTAAACCAGGACTAAAACAGGATTTAACAGGACTAAATCCATGCTGCGTGGACGTGTCTCTTCTTCTATCAATAATATTTTTAATACAGTTAAATGAAGTCTGGGCTTTTTATTTTCTTTTATCAGATAAAACATCTTATGTGAAGATTTCCTTGTCTTTAGCTTCTCTACAACAAACCAAGTAATCCAAAATATTCAGATTACATTACTCACCTTTAAGTAATTTAATGGATTCCGTTACAAACTACATTTTGGGGTATGTAATCTGTAATCTGTAGGGGAATACATTTGAAAAGTCACCTTCCCAACACTGTCCACAGTATGGCATTAAATTAAGTTTTTCTTTGGACACAAGGGACTGACGTATCCAGGTCAGTTTACAGGTCATGTCTGTGGAGAGGTGAGACTTTTCAAAGTAAGAATGCATGTTTATACTTGCTATACAATTAAACTATACTGTGCAACATTAAAGCAATAACATCTCCATGGAGACAAGCACACCCTCAACCAGGAAAGTTACATAGAGCATCTTTATTGTTTAAAAGATCACCACCAGCACATGTCCAGATTAGGGATGGGCATTTGATTACATTTTCTTAATCCATCGTTGGGAGAATTAACGATCAATTATCGATTAATCATTAATGTTTTTATATTAAAATGATCATCATTATTATTATTACTATCTGCACTAATCTGCATAAATAAATTCAACTTTACCACATATAAACCATAAACACTCTAGTGCAGGAGTGTCAAACTCATTTTGGTCCGGGGCTCGTGTCCAACCAACTTTGATCCTAAAGTGTCCAGATCAAAAAACTCATGTCATATAAACCCCAAAAATAACAATAAGTTCAAATATTTGTGCAGAGAAACACAAATCTATTACAGAAATCTTTTTTAATTGATGAACTCTTTCTTTTACAAAATATTATAATATTATGAACAACCTGAAACTTTAAGAAAAATGTAATTTCAACACAATGTTTTAACATGAACTTGTCTGTAAACAGGAATAAGACAATTTTTCTTGGAAAATCCTGCACTCAGCTCCACTTTTCTTATTTTTGATATGTTGCTGATGAGGGTGTCACTACTCTCACCTGGCAAAACTTTTTAATGTTTTCAGTGTCCTGGTGAGTTTTTTCACACTGGACACCGACACATATGTGCCTGTTTTATACACTGTGCACGTGACCTCCCACTTGTCCCGACCAGAACGGAAAGCACGGAATTTCTTGTACAAGTCATCGTTAAATACGCATTTGTGCTTCGGCGTGTTGCAGACTGACCGACTGTCTGTGTCTGCTCGCTCCTTCTGAGTGCACAGAGCTACATGTACAGACCCCCGTTTGTCCCCGGGCATGGACGTTTGGTCACCCTACGCTACGCACAGCAACCTACATTCGGTTTGTTGATGAAAATTAACGTAATCGATTAAATTCCTAATGATCAATTATCGATTCATGGACTAATCATGCCCATCCCTAGTCCAGATGCAGCTGAACAGGTTTGCTCAGACTAAAACAGAGTGCATGTTGGTCCTGTTCGTGTCTGTGTTGAGAGGCGTCTGTGCTTCTAACATGTAGGGGTGTGCAAAAATATTGAAATATCGATATATATCGTATCGTTTAATATGATGATACAGTATCGATATTGGGGACTGGTGTATCAATATATCGCCAAGAGTATTTTGGGGTATATTTTACTGCATTATTTTGTTACAACACTACAGTTTTGTTGCTTGTTTAGAGGAAGGAAACTCATTTATGCCACTCATTTGACATTTTCACTGTTTTGATGATTAAAATGTTTGTGTGTCATGTGAACTTTGCACAAGAAGTAGTTTAAAAAAGACTTTTAGTATCACAGACATGATTTAGCCTTTATTTTTTATTGAACTATATCGAATCAATTTGAAATATATCGTATCGAACCGAAAGCTCACTGTATCGAGATCTGTATCGTATCGCGGCCTATGTATCGAGATATGTATTGTATCGGCAACTTCTTAATGATACCCAACCCTACCAACATGACTCTGGTAAACCGTGTTCAAACCGTGTTCAAAGCTCCTCTCCACTCTCTTATTTCCGTGCACTTTGTGATACAACCTTGAAACACTGTAATAAAATGTGCGAATTAAATGTGACTGCACAAACACTGAGTGAGGCACTAAAGCACAAACACACTATGTTATTGTATTTCACACAGGCTCATGAGAAATACATGAGAGAAAAGCTGTGATCCGACATGTTTAAAGTGGAAACAACACGGTTTGATCATTGTGTTCACAGAAAAATGTGATAAATGCACTAGCAAGGAAATGAAGCGTTCTGTTTGAAAGGTGCTCACACGAGCAACTAGACACAGTTTAGACCTACTTTAATCCTGGTTTAGTCCTGGTTTAGACCTGGTTTAGTCCTGGTTTAAACCTGGTTTAGACCTGGTTTAAACCTGGTTTAGACCTGGTTTAGAGCTGAACACAGACCTAGAGTATAAACACAGACCTTTAGAGTATGAACGTAGCCCTAGAGTATGAACACAGCCCTGTAGTTTGCAGGTCAGTTCAAACTCATGTTACTTGTGCAGAGTTGCTCGTCTTCACTCTTCTCGTCTGTTGTGTGGTTGTGTTCAGGTGACAGACATGATGCTGCAGGACACACATTACCCAGACTGGGGCCGAGCTGCCAGAAGATTCTGGAAAAGAGGCAACAACCGCATCGTTCTCTTCTGGTAAGACATCTCAGCCACTCTAGACCTGATATATTATAGACATTCCACTCTTTTTTCCATTATAATGCCATTTTCAACACAAATCAATAGGACTTTGATACTATTCGGTCTTATACTCATTCTGATAAAGCTGAAGGACATTCTAAAGCTGTATATGATGATTTTTTATTATTTTTTTTTTCAGTGCTTTTTGTTAGTTTGGTTGAAGACGTTTCTCAGCTCATCCAAGCTGCTTCTTCAGTTCTGGTCTGACGCTGGTGGACACTTCCTTATATCTGCAGGAGGAGCTAACTACACTGAAACTACTTGTTTACAGATTCTGTTTGTTAGTTAGGCCTGTTGACCTGTACTGGGGGTGGGGAACCTGGGGAAGCTCCATTATGGCCATGAATTGTTATGCTAATTAGACCCCACACCCAGGTAGGTGTGTTAGTTTCAGTGGAGTTAGCTCCTCCCTGCAGACAGATATAAGGAAGTGTCCACCAGCGTCTGACCAGAACTGAAGAAGCAGCTTGGATGTTTGTTTGTTTGTTTGTTTTTTATTTAGATCCCCATTAGCTACTGAAGAACAGCAACTATTCTTCCTGGGGTCAGTAACATTCTATAAATGCCTTTTTCTGCAGGAAAACAGGATGTACATGCACCACATTTGTACTAACAATGAAAGGTAACAACAGATAAGAAAATATACAAATAATCATAACAATTGATGCACATAAATAAACATATACATACATACATACACACACTTGCACATATACATACATATATATATCCCCATACATGCATACACCCATATATACATACATATATACTAGGGCTGGGTATCATTAAGGAGTTGCCGATACGATACATACCTTGATACACAGGCCACGATACGATACATATCTCGATACAGTGCACTTTTGATTCAATATGATACATTTCAAATCGATTCTATACAGTTCAATAAAAAATAAAGGCTAAATCATGGCTGTGACACTAAAAGTCTTTGTTAAATCACTTCTTGTGCAAAGTTCATATGAAACACAAACATTTTAATCATTAAAACAGTAAAAATGTCAAATGTGTCGCATAAATGAGTTTCCTTTCACTCCACAAGCAGCAAAACTGTAGCACTGTAACAAAATAATTTAGTAAAACACACCTAAAAATACTCTTGGTGATATATCGATACAGTAGCCCACGATATCGATACTGTATCATCACATTAAGTGATACGATATATCGATATTCCGATATTTTTGCACACCCCTAATATGTACACATATACACATATATACGTATATATACACACATATATATATACATACATACATACACATACATACACATACACATACACATATTCACATATACATATACACATATATACATACACATACATATACACACATATACATATACACATATATATATACACACATACATATACACATACACATATACATATACATATATATATATATATACACACATACATATACACATACACATATACATATACACATATATATATATACACACATACATGACATACACATATATAAAAGCTCTACTTTTCAAATCAGAGACAACACAGTTCCATTATTCAAACATTAAGCCCTCCAAAACTTCTGAAGTACAAACAAACTATTCCAACAATACTACCCCCGAGTGAAAACGAACAGTCTAAGCATTTTATGGAAACTAAGTGTCCACATTCCCGAGATGAGCTGCGAAACGTCTTCAACCAAACTAACTTTTGTCCAGTCGACAAATTGAATTTTCTCCTACATGGATTCTACTACTGAGGGATTCTTCACAGTAACATAGGACCTGGAAAGATTAGTGACAATAAATGAAATATTATGGCAAATGGGTGTGGATAAACACTCAGTGAAGTTATTATCACAGCACATAACACAGGGAATTGATTAAACTATTACTGATTCAAATCTAACATCAAACTTGAAATTTCAGAACACTGATAATGACTTTTTCTTCACTGAAATTTCCATTTTATTCTATTGTAATCTACCAGCAGTGTTGGGGAGTAACAGATTACATGTACTGGAGTTACATAATCAGAGTACATATTATGAGTAACTGTATTCAGTTACAGTTACTGTTTCAGTGAGTGGTAATTGGATTACAGTTACTTTGTTGAAAAAAAAAAAAAGGATTACAGGGCGATATTTTCCTGTTTTTACATTTTGGGCTATATCCCCCTTTTTTTCTTTTTTTTTTTTTTTTCTCGGTAATTCTACTCTTTACCAAAAACTAAACTAGATCTAAACCAGGACTAAAACCAGGTCTAAACTAGATCTAAACCAGGTCTAAACCAAGTCTAAACTAGTCTAAACTAGAGCTAAACCAGGACTAAACCAGGACTAAGATGGGGTCTAAACTAGTTCTAAACTAGATTTAAACCAGGTCTAAAACAGGTCTAAAACCAGGTCTAAACCAGGACTAAAACCAGGTCTAAACTAGATCTAAACTAGAGCTAAACCAGGACTAAAACAGGACTAAGACCAGGTCTAAACTAGTTCTAAACTAGATTTAAAACAGGTCTAAATCCAGGTCTAAACCAGGTCTAAACCAGGACTAAACCAGGACTAAACCACGTCTAGTCTAAACCAGATCTAAAACAGGTCTAAACCAGGACTAAACCAGGACTAAACCATCCTCATCTTTGCTACTCTACAGCAAATCAAGTAATCCAAAGTATTCAGATTACATTACTCACTTTAAATAATTAAATGGATTACGTTACAAACTACATTTTGGAGTATGTAATCTGTAATCTGTAGGGGAATACATTTTAAAAGACACCTTCCCAACACTGTCTAACAGTTTCTAGATTTAAAAACCACAGCGATCCATTTGTTCTTATGTATTCAACATAAATTATGTAAAGATAAAAACTTGTAACTGAAGCGAGCCTGTTTATGTGAAGACAAATGGCATCAGGCTCATGTTCTGTCGTGGCGTCAGTGCTTGAAGTGTCCTTAATATATTCCCCGGAGGCCTGTGTGTCTTCGTCTGTCCACAATCAATATCTGTGTTAATCTTCCTTCACTCAATGTCGCACCTTTAATTAGACGGACAGCTGCAAAAAATCGATGGACACAGTGAGGTCAGCGCGTGGAGATAACTACCGCTTTAAATAACCTCGAAACCAACGAAGTGTGTCGGATGCGTGCTTGTTTTCAGATGCCGTTAAATGAGTTTGTGTCTCTGTTACTAATGAGGAGGAGCCCGTGTTCCTCTGTCACTTTTATACTATTGTTAAAAGCAAAAAGGAAAATTCACAACTGTTGAACTTTAATCATTGTAATGATGATGTTGTGCACAGATGTTGCTTTCAAATGTAGAGATTTAGACATGGTTCTTCTTCTTTAGTCCTGCTCCAGTCCTGTTTCTGTCCTGGTTTAGACCAAGTTTAGTCCTGGTTTAGTCTTGGTTTAGTTCTTGCTTAGACCTTGTTTTGTCCTGGTTTAGACCAAGTTTAGTCCTGGTTTAGTCTTGGTTTAGTTCTTGCTTAGACCTTGTTTCTGTCCTGGTTTAGACCAAGTTTAGTCCTGGTTTAGTCTTGGTTTAGTTCTTGCTTAGACCTTGTTTTGTCCTGGTTTAGACCAAGTTTAGTCCTGGTTTAGTCTTGGTTTAGTTCTTGCTTAGACACGGTTTTGACCTTGTTTAGACCCAGTTTAGTCCTTGTTTAATCTTGGTTTATTTCTTGCTTAGACCTGGTTTAGTCCTGACTTCTGAGCTAGACTAGGTTTAGACCTGGTTTAGACCTGGTTTAGTCCTGACTTCTGAGCTAGACTAGGTTTAGACCTGGTTTAGTCCTGGTTAATTTGTCCTAGTTTAGACCTAGTCCAGTCTTGGTTTAGTTTTTGCTTAAACTTGGTTTAGTTCATGTTTAGACCCAGTTTAGTCCTTGTTTAATCTTGGTTTAATTCTTGCTTAGACCTGGTTTAGTCCGGGTTTAGACCCACTTTAATCCCTGTTTAGTCTTGGTTTAATTCTTCCTTAGACTTTGTTAAGTTCTTGTTTAGACCCACTTTTGTTCTTGTTTAGTCTTGGTTTAGTTCTTGTTTAGACCTGGTTTGGTCCTGGTTTAGATCCAATTTAGTCCTGATTTAGTTCTTGTTTAGACATGGTTTAGTCCTGACTCCTGAGCTACACTTGGTTTAGACCTGGTTTAGATCCAGTTTAGTCCTTGTTTAGTTTTTGTTTAGACCCAGTTTAGTCATAGTTTAATCCTCGTTATGTTCTTGTTTCTTAGTGGTTTTGTCCTATTTTAGACCTGGTCCAGTCCTGGTTTAGTCTTGGTTAAGTTCTTACTTAGACCTGGTTTAGTCGTTGCTTATACCCAGTTTAGTCCTTCTTTTGTCTTGGTTTAGTTCTTGCTTAGACCTGTTTTAGTCCTTGTTTAGTTCTTGTTTAGACCTGGTTTAGTCATAGTTTAGTCCGGATTAATTTCTTGTGTCTTAGTGGTTTTGTCCTAGTTTAGGCCTAGTCCAGTCCGGGTTTAGTCTTGGTTTAGTTCTTGCTTAGACCTTGTTTTGTCCTGGTTTAGATCCAGTTTAGCCCTCGTTTACTTCTTGTTTAGACCTAGTTTTTATTCTTTAATCTTGTCGTAATCCTGGTTTATACCTATAGTCCTGGTTTAGTCCTGGTTTAGTTGTGATATAGACCAGGTTTAGACCTGCTTTAGGCACGGTTTTGTCCTTGGTTAGACCCAGTTTAGTTCTTACTTAGTCCTGGTTTAGTTGTTGCTTAGACTCAGTTTAGTCCTTGTTTAGTTCTTGTTTAGACCTGGTTTAGTCTTGATCCAGACCTAGTTTAGACCTGGTTTAGTCCTTGTTTAGACCCTGTTTTAGTCCTTGTTCAGTCTTGGTTTAGTTCTTGCTTAGACCTGGTTTTGTCCTGGTTCAGATCCAGTTTAGTCCTGGTTTACTTCTTGTTTAGACCTGGTTTAGTCCTGACTCCTGATCTTGACTTGATCCAGACCT